GGCACTTCCAGGTTTAAAGATGGCTGTGGCATGGCAGTCATCTTTATGACGCAACCAGGGGCAATTTATGAAAGCAGTGGGCCTGTGTGCAAGGTCATAATTTGGGCCCTGACAGCACAGAAATAAGTGCGGCATGCACAAAAATGGATGTGGTTTTTGGGGGCTCTAGGCAATGCCTGCTGGTTAGATTGTACAGTAAAGATGCCCAATGACAGAAGTTAATTGTCTTGTGCGGCTGTTCAGCTCCCACTCAGCCTCTTTCCTGACAGGTGTGCTAACCTCCCACAACCATTTTTTTTTCCTGACAGAACATGGAAAATCTGTGGATTTTTTACTGAATTATGACATAAACTCCTGTTAGAAACTAAGAATCTAGTGAGAGAGAGACAGAAGAGGGGACGGAGAGAGAGATGGAAAAGTAGAAGAGAGATGTAGGAAGGGGAGAGAAGGTGGGGGGAGAGGAAGGTGAGAAGGGGGGGGGGGTGAGAGAGAGAGGGAGGGTGAGATAGAGAGGGAATGAGTAAGGGAGAGCGTGGGAGAGAGGGTGAGAGAGAGAGAGGGGGGGTTGGTGAGAGAGAGAGAAGGTGAGGGGGGGTGAGAGAGGGGTGAGAGGGTGGGAGGGAGGGGGAGGGGGGAGAGAGGGGGGTGAGAGAGGGGGGGAATGAATAAGGGGGGGGGTGAATGAGGGGGTGAGAGATAGGGGGTGAGAGAGAGAGAGGGTGAGAGAGGGAGGGGGTGAGAGAGAGAGAGAGGGGGGGTGAGAGAGTGAGAGAGAGGGGGATGAGAGAGGGTGAGAAACGGGTGAGAGAGAGGGGGTGAAAGAGGTGGAGAGGGAGAGGGGATGAGAATGAGAGGGAGAGGGTGTGAGAGAGAGGGGCTGAGAGAGAGAAGGAGAGGGACTGAGAGAGAGGGGGAGAGAGAGAAGGAGAGGGTGAAAGAGGATGAGAGAGAGGGGGGAGAGGGAAAAGAGAGGATGGGGAGGTGGTATGAGAGAGAGAGAGGGTGAGAGAGACAGGGTGAGATAGTGGGAGAGAGACAGGGTGAGAGAGAGAGAGGGTGATAGGGAGAGAAAGACAGGGAGGGAGGGTGAGAGAGTGTGAGGGAGAGAGGATGAGTGAGAGAGAGAGAGAGAGAGAGAGGGGGGGTGAGATAGGGTGAAGGAGAAAGGGAGAGAGAGTGAGAGAGAGGGAGAGCAAGAGAGAGAGAGGAAGAGAGCGACAGGGTGCGAGAGAGGGTGAGAGAGGGGGAAGGGATGGGAGAGAGAGGGGGGAGAGAGGGGGTGAGAGAGAGGGGGAGAGGGGGTGAGAGAGAGAGAGAGTGAGAGGAAGAGAGAGAGAGGGTGAGAGAGTGGGAGAGAGAGGAAGAGGGAGAGAGAGAGTGAGGGAGAGAGGATGAAAGAATGAAGAGAGGGTGAGAGAGGGAGGGTAAAAGGGAGAGGGAGAGACAGAGAGTGGTGAAGGAGTCAGTGCCTATTCACCTAACATGAGCTACTTCCTGGATCAGGGGCTTCAACTGCTGCCATCTCCTCCCCTGCTCTCTTCACTGTCACTGACAGTCCCTGTGCCTTATCTGCTGCTCCTATCTCGGACTCCCCACTTTCAGCCACATTCCTGTCTGAATAATGTGTCCATGTTTCAAGCGGACACATTATTCAGACAGACATAAAGATACTTCCACTGTGTGAAATGTGTGGAGCTTTTCATGGGGCCAATACTGACTCCAGGCCCTTGGGTAGTGCCCGTGTGACCGAATGGTCAGTCCACCCCCTGTATGTATTAACACTTCCTGTCTCTGGGAGGCTGACTTAGAAACCTCAGAAGAAGGAAGTGAAGAGAGAGAGAGAGAGAGAGAGAGAGAGAGAGAGAGAGAGGGCGATAGAAAGGACTGAGTCTGAGGACACGTGTTCTATTAATGGGGAAGTTGTTGTATTTCACCCAGACCAGAAGCAGAGACAATTCTGTTCTAATAGGAGAAGATGCCCATAGCTTCTTCAGTGTGTATTTAAAACTTTTTGACAGACTTATCTCTGTCCTATTGGTATTATCTCACATGCAAAGTACCAAACAGCTAGGTCTGTGCTACTATATGTATCACTTTGCTTTATATTAGTAGGTGAATCAGTTTATTGCAATACAGTTTATATGCACCTCCTGTTTTTTTAGTTAACCCTATCCCTTCTGGTCTGGACTTTGATGCAACACTCGTCTAGTGATATCAGTATATATGGTTATTAATAGAGATACCTCCCGATGAATGTTGCATCAAAGTCCCAGTGTCACCAGACCAGTATAGGTCAGCAGCAGTGTCCTTATTGCTACCACACTAGTCCCCAGTGTCACCAGACCAGTGTAAGCCAGCAACAGTGTTTCTGATTGGAGTGTTGTCTCTGAATGCCGCCTGCACTGACCCTAGCCTGTTTATTGACCACGTTTCAGCCTGCTGCCTGGACCAATCCTTTGCATATTTGCTGAGCATGTCTATGCTTGTTGCTTTAACTGACCCATCTGCGTTGGGCTCGAACATCAGCCATTCATGTGTTCGCATTGTGAGAGCCGTGATTGGCCAAAAAAATGCACATGGCCACAGGTCAGGTCCAATGATTTGGCCAATCACAGCCCAATGCACTGTAAGAGCCATGATTGGCCAAAGTCATGGTGACTATAGCCAATCATGGCTCACGGCTAAGTCCTCACCCCATGCTATATAAGCCTGCTTACACAGCAGCCTTGTGTAGTGTGTTGCTGGACACTGCCAAAGACAGAGGGGAGAATACTCTCCCCCCCAAAAAATGAAATAAAACAAAAATACATATAAAAAAAAGAAACAGTGTTGGCGTGACAAAGCTGGATGCCGTGATTGACGATGGATTACAATGATGTTATCATTTGTTTGGCTTTTTTTTTTCTTATTAAAAGGACGTATGAAAAACTGTTGTTTTGTTTTTTGTACAATTAAAGGAATTTTTCAAAAGACTGGTCTCTTTATTTTTTAAGGAATGTAACCCTTTAGTGAATGGGCATCCCTTACTCATTCACAAGGGCACGTGGCCTGGTAAGCAGCAGGGGATCCTGCACTTGGATCAAGGGTCTGGTAGGAATTTAGGGGGGACCTCAAGCTTTCCCCCCCATTCTTGGGGGGTGGGGTTCCACTTAAAGTCCTACCAGGCCTAAAGGAACTGAGATGGCTTTTAGGGGGCACCCTACACACTCCCCCCCCCCACTTTTGGGAGATGGGGTTCCTCTTAAAAGTCCTACCAGGCCTAGAGAGCCTGGCATGGCCTTTAGGGGGAACCCCTTGCTCTTTTAAAAAAAAAAATTACTGTTGGGTCCCTGCTAGCCTTTCAACCAGACCTATAGGGTCTGGCATGAATTGGGGCAGGGGGGGCTAAGCTGTTTTAAAAAAAAATAAAAATGTAATTTTTTAAAAAACTGTCAGTCCTGCTGCAGCAGGTTCTATTCATTGTACAGATGTGCATATTTGCAGGTAGCCCCCAGGCATAATATTTAAAGGAATTTTTCATTTTTTTTTTTTATACTTTAAGTAATGAAAAATGACTGCCCCTTTAAAAATGGTACTTTTTGAAAATGTTTTTCACTGATTCATATCCCTCAAGGCGGTACCCGTGTCCCCTACCCCTTTATGGCCAATGACTTGCATATAAGCCTTCAAAATGGGCACTTTTGAATTTTCAAGTTTGAAACCTATAGACTTGCACTGAGTTCGAAGTTCGCGGTCGAACATTCATTAGGTTCGAATGTTTGACTGCAAACCAAACACTGGAGTGTTTGGCCCATCACTATTCCTACACAGGAATAGGAACTACAATACTGTGAGACACTAGACATCCCCCGCTGGCAACTGCACTCCTTAAAGCACTGGAACTCTTTTGTTCTTCCTTTCTCTTAGTCTCTTGTACTTCCTGGCCAGTGAGCATGAAATTTCTAGGGGCAGCTATGTACCAGTAGGTTAGGCTTGCTTAGCTTATAGGAATAGGGACTGCTATAGGTTATGCTATACAGAGGCTCGTACAGTCTTACGCCTGTTGTATCGCCATACTCAGGAAGCGTGGTAGAATGTGTTATTGATAACTTTGTGTAAAACAAACCCCCTATCTTCATTTTTTTTCTTCCATATTCCAAAAACTTGTGGCAAAAAAATAAAATTTTCAAAAGACTCACTATGCCTTAAAAAAATACCTTAGAGTAATTGCTTTCCAGAATGTGATCATTTTGTAGGTTTCTCCTTTTCCTTTCCTGGTACTTCAGGGACTCAAGAAATATGACAAATAGTCAGGAAATTAGACGTAATTTATGCTCCTGGAAAGCCCAAAGATTGTCCTTGGATTTTGGGCCCTTCTATGCATCTAGGCTGTGAAAAAGTCCCATACGTAGTATCCCTTTACTCAGAAGGCATAGAAGAATGTATTTTGGGGTGTAATTGAAAGTATGCCTATGTTGTGTGTAAGATATAACTCATCAAAATGACAACTTTGTGAAAAAAGCACATAGTATTTAATCTCTTCATTTCTCAAACAGATTGTGACAAAAAATTACAACTTAAAAAACTCATTATGCCAGTTACTAAATACCTTGGACTGTCTACTTTCCAAAAACGGGTTATTTGGGGGGAAGGGGGTATTTTCAAAATTTTCTGTATTTTTTATATAGCAAGAAATTTAAACAAACACATTGGTGATTAAATACCACCAAATGAAAGATATATCTCTCTAAAAATTCATTTTGATAGTGTTGTATGACTGATTAATTGTCATTCAAAGTGTGACAGTGCTGAAAACCTAAATATAGCCTGGGCAGGAAGGGGGTGAAAGTGTCCGGTCTTGAAGTGGTTAATCCTGAAAAGATTCACCATGCCTCTTAACAAGTACTTTTAGGTGTCTATTTTTCAAAAATGGGCCATTTAGGGGTGTTTATACTGTCCTGATATTTTAGGGCATTCGGAAATCTGAAAATCTATAAGAACATCGGTGGTGATAAATTTCAAATACACTATACTGCCAAAAGTATCGGGACCCCCCTTCAAATCATTGGATTCAGGTGTTCCAATCACCTCCATGGCCGCAGGTGTATAAAATCAAACACCTAGGCATGCAGACTGTTTCTGAAAACATTTGTGAAAGAATGGTTCACTCTCAGGCGCTCAGTGAATTCAAGAGTGGTACCATGATAGGTTGCCACCTGTGCAATAAGTCCATCCATGAAATTTCCTTGCTACTAAATATTCCACGGTCAACTGTTAGTGGTATTATAACAAAGTGGAAGCAACTGGGAACAACAGCAACTCAGCCACGAAGTGGTAGGACATGCAATACTACAGAGCATGCTGAAGCGCACAGTGTGCAGAATTCGACAACTGTCTGCAGAGTCAAAAAGTAAAGACCTCCAAATTTCATGTGTGTCACAAGTTAGCCTGCAGCCTCCTGTTGCTTTGTCTTACCTCCTTGCTGTTTGTGTTTCCTTCACATGTGTGTGTGTCTCTCTCTGCTCACCTATGGGCATCGTCTGCTATTCCCTGGGTTTCATGTTCTTCCCTTTCATCACTTCCTGGCCCGCCTCCTTGTCTGCCTGTCCATTTAAGACATGCTCAGTCTGTCCCACATTGCCTGAGCAACGTTTGTTGTCTGTGCTCCCCAGTGTTCTTCCAAGTATCCGGTCTAGTGTTTCTGTGTACCGACCCCGGGTTTTTCCCTGACTTCTCTCCTACATCATCCACCTGTGTACCGACCCCGGCTTTGTTCCTGACCTTGCTTGTCTTCCGCCTGTCCCAACTTCGGCTTGTCTTCTGGATCTCCTAGTCTACTCCCATTGTACCCTGCTCCCGCTAGCGGTCTCTTCTACCACATCTGGGTGTACCTGGGGGCCGCGACCTGGTTCCAGCCTGCTCCAAGTCCATCCCCACCATCTGGGGCTCTGGTGAACAAGCAGGCTGGGGCTTAGACTCCACGCCCTGGGGAACCCCAAGCTGTGGATTAAGAGCTCAACACCACAGGTGCTGACAGTGTGGCCTTCAGATTAGCACCACAACAGTGCGTAGAGAGCTTCATGTAATGGGTTTCCATGGCCGAGCAGTGCCTTACCTCACAAATACGCTTCTGGAAGAATGGTCAAACATTCCCATAGACACACTCCTAAACCTTGTGGACAGCCTTCCCAGTAGAGCTGAAGCTGTTATAGCTGCAAAAGGTGGGTCAACTCAATACTGAACCCTACGGATTAAGACTGGAATGCCATTAAAGTATAGTATAGTATAGTACACTATATTGCCAAAAGCATTGGAACACCCCTCCAAATTATTGGATTCAGGTGTTCTAGTCATCTCCATGGCCACAGGTGTATACGTGTCCTACTACTTCGTGGCTGAGTTGCTGTTGTTCTCAGTTGCTTCCACTTTGTTATAATACCACTAACAGTCACCAAGTGCAATGTAAAGCATTGGATTCAGTGGTGTAAAGCAAGCCGCCACTGGACTTTAGAGCAGTGGAGGCATGTTCTCTGGAGTAATGAATCATGCTTGTCTGGAAATCTGATGGACATGTCTGGGTTTGGCGGTTGCCAACACCTTTGAGATAAATTAGAGCAGAGACTGCAGGCCAGGCCTTCTTGTTCGACATCAGTGCCTGACCTCACAAATGCACTTCTGGAAGAATGGTCCAACATTCCCATAGACACACTCCTGAACCTTGTGGACAGCCTTCCCAGAAGAGATGAAGCTGTTATAGCTACAAAGTGTGGGACAATTCAATATTGAACCTTACGGACTAAAACTGGGATGCCATTAAAGTTCATGTGCGTGTAAAGGCAGGTGTCCCAATAATTTTGGCAATATAGTGTATATACAACATAGACTGTAGATTCTATAACTTGCACAGAATAATTATTTTACACTTATTTGGATTTTTATTTTACCAAAGAAACGTAACAAAATATATTTTGGCCTACATTTATGAAAAAACATTTTTATTTGAAATGCTTTATAACAATACATAGTCCTGTATATAGTGAAAAATAAAAGTGATTATCATATATCACCAAAAGAAAGCTCTGTCTGTCTAAAAAATGTTTTTAAAATTAATTTGGGTACAGTGCACCAATTAATTGTGAGTCAAAGTATCTGAAAAATGACTTGGTAATGAAGGAGTGAGACATGCCTGTACTTAAAGAAGAATTCCAGGTCTGGATATTTTTAGCTTGGAACAATGTAACTATGCATATACCATACCTGGTCGATCCCCTTGGAAGCTGGAAAAACCTGTAGTAGGCTACTATAGTAATCTCTACTAGCTTCCAGGTCTTCGGCCCAGCGGCTGCTCTGCTGAATTTGTGAACACATGAGGTTGCCCACTCAGCATGGGAACCAGTTAAAGATCGCTTTGCATTTTTAAAATTTATGCAAACTGCTCTCTGATTAGATTAGGTGGAGAGGTGGGACACTGATATCACAATCTCCATCTTGTCCAGTCAGAGGACACTTAAATGAGAAAATGCAATTCATTCTCTGTACCAAGTGGGCAGTCTCCTCTGTTCAGTAAGCAGCAGGTCAGCTGCTCAACGTGGGACCCAAAATCCAGTGGAGGTCACGGTAGTAGTTGTCAGGAATGGGCTCACCTGCCGTGTGGGCTGCAGTACCGGTACTTGCCAGCGGGTGTGTCAGGAATGGGCTCACCTGCTGTGTAGGCTGCAGTACCGGTGCTTGCCAGCGGGCGCTTTCAGCAGCCAGGATCTCACTCCTTCAATCAAGCCATCACCTGAGGCTGATTGCAGGAGGTATATTTAAGCAGCACCAGGCCTGCAATCAGTGCCTTGGTGTTGTCCCATGAGCCCCTGTATCTTGTTCCTGTGTAGAGGAAGATGAAAGAAAGAGCGCACAAACCTTGCGCATTACCTCAATAAATAGTGACTAATTTTATTAATAAGGAAATATACTCACAAAATGATTGTATAACAGGCATAAGTAACCATAATCCAAACAGGGTTACAGGTAAATCAAAAAGGGGGGGTATGAAGGCTAACGCGTTTCGAAGGGTGCTCCCTTCTTCATCAGAGCTGGTAAAAAACAAATGCATATACAAATACAAATTCCCCTCAAACTAATTACATAAATCATGATGGTATAACAGGTGGTGATACTGTTAACTGAGCGTAGCAATACACATGAAAATACTCATGGTAATATGTATAGTAATAATAGTAATCATAATGTAAAAAGTCACATACAGAAAAAGTGTATATATACAAAACGTACAAAAGAAAAAAAAAAAACTTTCCATATACATACACATATATACACATATATACACACACAGAGAGAGAGAGAGAATCCACAGAATAAACGTGTATACATATATGTGTGTGTAAATGCAAAAGCACAAGTGCTATTTAAAATGTAAAATTTAAAAACAGAATACGTTTATTTCATTCTGTGTGGTATAGTGTATGTTATTATAATAAATAGATACCTGGGTTTGGCAGATAGAAACTTCAGTATGGCAGAGTTCCCATGGCAAGGAGATATTCAGCCACTGAGTGTCAGTATTACAGCAGTTCAGCCTGTTTAGTGTGGCTGGCGATTAAAGTAATGGCTTAAATACTGTAGGCCGCCTGCAGGTGGCAGTGGAACGCACACCGGCTAATAAGCACTACTGCGCATGTGCAGTGCGTTCCAGGGGCCATATTAAAGAGGATCATGAAGCAGGAAGTCTCTGACTCTACATCCCATACAACAAAGAGAGATCAAAGGGATGACAAATGACCAATAACCCACTGGACCTTAGGAGATTCATATTTAGTTAATAAAGGACAGTAAACAGTACATAAATAAATAAATACTTGAAAAGTGAAAGGTGCTGACAGTTCGCAAATCCACCTTACATATAGGAACAGCGCCATGTAGTGACAGCTTTATCAATTGCAGGCTAAATTATTAAAAGGCAGAGTGAGTTGTTATCTTCTGTTTAGTGTCAATTGATAAGGGATACATTCAAATCAGTGAAACTCAGGGAATCATTTCTAATTACGATGTAGATGTCTTGTTCCTGTGTTCCTGATTGTCCTGTACTCCTGATTGCCTTGTTGCCGACCCAGCCTGATCCTGATACTGCTGTCCTCTCCTGCTCTGACCCCTGGCTCGTCCTGACCATTCTCTGCCTGCTCCCATTGCCTGACCTCCCGTTACCGAACTCGGGCCTGTGACCTGTTATTCTTTGCCTTTGTACTGTTGCTCCGCTGTTACCGACCCGGCCTGTCTGACCACACATACCTCTTCACATCTGGCTCTTACCTGCTCTACGCCATGGGCACCTGCCTCTACCACAGCTGGTGTTCCTCGGGGGTCGCGACCTGGTCTCAGGCTGCTTCAAGTCCATCCCCACCATCAGGGGCTCTGGTGAACCAGCAAACTGAGGCTTAGACTCCACGCCCTGAGGGACTCCAGCCAGTGGGTCGCTAGAGGCTGTTTACTGTGCGTTTTGTATATTTGGGTGGCTAATAATAAATTATATTGTTATTACATCATTCCTGAAGCCTGTTACTTCCCTGTGTCAGTCCACACATTTCTGGTCATATCCAGATCCCTGACATTAGTGATGCCTGCTACAGCGATTTCCAGTTTTCATAGAGAAACTATAAACCTGATACGGTATATGCACAGTTATTTTGGCCTGATATAGACGTTTATTGAGCTTTTCAATACTCCCAGCTGCTTTTTGCTGCTGTGACTTTCAAAACCCCCTGCAAAGAACCCCCTTTCCTTCATTCCTAATTTGTGACCATGTATCCTCATTAGGGACCTAAGGTTAAACAAGTTGTTATTTGCTATACTGTCACTATTGATTAATGTGTAGATAGTGATTGATTATGTCTCCTCTTAAGTGCCTCCTCTCTAAGGGAAAAACATTTATTTACTTAATCTTTCTTTATAGCTGAGGTCATTCAGTATCCTTTTTTTGTTGCCCTTCGCTGCATCCTTTCTAGATCTAGGACATCTTTTCTGTTCATTGGTGGTCAAAACTGAATTCAATACTCATGATGATGCTGAACCACTGTGTTGTAAACAGATTTGTATAAATGTATCCCTCTTTAATGCATGAAGGTATTCTAGCAGTGACTCAACATTGCTTGCTATTACCAATTTTGTGGTCCACTAGGACCCTCATATTCTTCCATTATTGATTTTCCCAGAGTAATCTCTCCTAATGAGAATCTTGCCTAAATAATTTGTGGCACCCAAATGCATAACTTTGAACATTCAGCATTATCTGCCAGGTCTCTGCTTTGTCTTTCCTTCCTGTAAGGTTGCTACATACTGTGACCAGGGGTGTGTTTACCATAAGGCAAACAAGGCATTTGCCTAGGGTGGCATTTTTCAGGGGGGCATCGCTGTCCCTCAAAAGAAGGAAAGGAAGAAGGGACGCACGCAGCATGGGGACCAGGTGGGATCTGAGAGAGGCTGCGGGCTGCTTGATGGTGTATGCAGAGCCCGACTCTTGTTCCTGGGGATGTTTGGAGCTATGAAGGTGAGTGTCTTATCTCTTGTCGGGGTGGCGGTGGGGGTTGCCAGTGTATGGTTGGCGGTGGTAATGGAAGGTTCTCTTGGGTGGTGGGGGGACTGAGGTGTTGTTGGTCAATGGGGGGAGCCAATTTTTGTGTTGCCTAGGGCAGCATGAAACCTAAATACACCACTGACTGTGCCCATCATTTTGTATCATCAGCAAACATGGAAATTGAGCTCTCAGTTCCAACCTCTTTGTCATTTACTGTATAAATAGGAACCCCCAAGGAACACCGCTCGTGATCCCAGGCCACTCAGACTGAATCATTATTCCCTACCTCTGTTCCTGTTGCTGAAGCCAGCTTCCTGTTCACATACATACTATTTCCTCCACTCTAATAGACCTTAGTTTGTAAGCTAAGATTTTGTGGGGGAACAAATGCTTTTGCAAAATCAGGATACATGACATCTTCTGCCCTTCCTTTATTTAAACTACTGCTTACTTTTTGGTAAAATGTAGACTGGCTGGTCTGAAAAGAGCAGTTAATAAATTATTGATGATTGTTACAATTGTTATAATCCCATTTTCCATATTTAATTTTTCAATAGAGTTTCTTAGTATTCTATCACACACCATTTATTTTAGGCTGATTGGTCTG